AGCCCCCAGAGTGCTGGGATTATAGCCGTGTACCGCCATACTCATCTGAATTCTCATTTTTGATAGTGGCCTTCAGTGACCCTTGAAAAATAACTACTTCGTGGGCTGGAGGAGTGGCTCAAGTGGAAGAGCACCTGCCAAGCAAGTACAAGGGCCTGAGTTCAAACCCCAGTATCAGAAAAAAAAAAAGAAGAGAGAAAATAACAGCTACTCCATAATTCCATTTTCTTCTCTACTAATTAAGTGAATAATAGTACTTTGTACCTCAAAAAATTTTCAATCTTGGACTGGTGGAATAACTCAAGTGGTAGAGCGCGTGCACAGCAAGCAAGGAGCTGAGTTCAAATCCTAGTACTGCCAAAAAATTTCAAATATCTATGAACAAATAGTTGGCACCTGTAGTCTTAGATTTCCCTGATCATTCTCATAGTGGGAAATCTGTAGGCTTATGGAGAAGAAAGAGTGTATAACTTTAACTTCCTTATAAACTATTTGATTCAGAATCTATCTGCCTGTCCATGGTGATTAGAATAGTAAGTTAAGTAAGATGAGTTCCACAATGACTAAGAAGGTTGAAAACAAGAGAAGGGATTTATTATTATTGTTGTTGGTTTTGCAATGCTAGGGATCAAACTTAGGGCCTCACACGCATGCTTGGCAAACATAGCCATTGAGCAACACTCTCAGCCCAATTCTGTGAGTTTTGACAGTGTGTAATGGCATGTATCCACCATTATGGTATCATACAGAGTATTTCACTACTCCTAAAATCCTCTGCTCTGCCAGCCCATCTCTCTTTCCTGTCTAGCTTTCCTGGGAACCACTGATCTTTTTACTTTCTCCATAGTTTTTCCTTTTCTAAATGGCATAAAGTTTGAATGCTGTCTTTTTAGATTGGGTTCTTTCATTTAGCAGTATGCATTTAAGGATAGTCCATGTATTTTCATGGCTTGATAACTCATTTCTTTTTAGTGTTGAATAGTATTCTGTTGTCTGAAGATACTGCAGTTTATTTATCTGTTCACCCTATGAAGCAACTTCTTGATAATATCTGTAGAGCTGCCATAAACATCCATGTCCAGTTTTCAGTTTGTTTGGGCAAATACCAAGGATTGTAGTTGGTGGATTATATGGTTTAAAAAAAAAAATGCCAGAGTGTTAGCTAAAGTGAATTCCCTGTTGCCTGAAATGCCTACATCCTTGTGGGGTTTTTTGGCTGCAACTGGGATTTGAACTCAGGGCCTCCTGCTTGCTAGGCAGGTGCTCTTATCACTTGAGCCACTCCACCAGCCCTTTTTTTGTAATCTGTTTTTTCGAGATAGGGTCGCTCAAACTATTTACCCAGGTTGGCTTTGAACCACAATCGTCCTGATCACTGCCTCCTAAGTAACTTAGATTATAGGCGTGAGCTACCAGTGCCTGGCTCCTTGCTGTATCTTAATAGTCCTTTTTCAGATGTGTCTTTGGCAAATGTTTCCTCCCATACTGTGGCTTATTTCTCATTTTTTGACACTGTTATTTGCAGAGCTGAAATTTTTTTATTTTAACAGAGTCTAGCTTATCAATTATTTCTTATAGATTGTGCCTTTGGTGTCATATTTAAAAAGTTATTGCCCATACCCTAGGTTATCTAGATTTATTACTATGTCACCATGGAGGACTTTTATAATTTTGCATTTTACATTTAGGTCTGTAACCGTTTTGAATTAATATTTGGAAAGGTATAAGGTCTGTGTCTAGGTGGTTTTTTGTTGTTGTTTTCAGGGAGCTAGGGTTTGAACTCAGGCTTCAAAGCAGGTGCTCTATTGCTTGAGCCATACCTCCAGTCTTTTCTGTTATGGTTATTTTATTTATTTTTTTTCTTTATTCATTTATTCATATGTGCATACATTGTTTGGGCCATTTCTCCCCTCTGACCCCCACCCCCTCCCTTGCTGTGGTTATTTTAAAGATGGGGGTTTCATGAAGCATTTGTCAGAACTTGCCTTGAAATGTGATCCTAACTGATCTCAGCCTCGCAAGTACCTAGGATTACAGGCATGAGCCACAGCTTTTTTTTTTCAATGTGGGCATCCAGTTGTCCCAGCACCATTATTGAAAAGACCATCTTTTTTCCATTGTATTTGTCTGTTATTCTTTGTCAAACATTCGTTGGCTATATGCATATGAATCTTTCTCTGTGCTCTCTATTCTGTTCCATTGATCTTTTTTTTTTTTTGCGGTTTTAACTCAGGGCCTATACCTTGAGCTACTATGCCATCCCTTTTTTTGTGATGGGTTTTTCAAGATCGGGTCTCGAGAACTATTTGCCTGGTTAGCTTTGAACCATTATCTTCTTGAGGAGCTAGGATTACAGGTGTGAGCCACCAGTGCCTGGCCCATTGATCTGTCTTTAAAAAAAAATTAGAAATTATTGTATACAATAGGAACAGATAAGAAGCTGTAGATAACAAGTAGGTATTCCTATTTCAAATTCTTTAAAAAAAAATCTGAGATATTGAAAAGGCACTGAATGAGGTTTATCGTAATGATAACACTAGCAAAATTATTCTTAAGTGTCTTGTCCAGTTACATATCAATTCTGGAAAAAATTAATGCTTTTCTTAGATAACATTTAGACATGCCTACTCTTCTCCCCTTAAGATATAGTAGCATCAGAATGGTTACTTGTTTCCCACATAAAGATAGACTAACATATGTTGTGGAGCTAGAAATTCTGTCTTGGAGATTTTCTTGGGTTTCCAATTGGGTAAGCAAAGAAATCTGAGGGTAGTGAATAGTAATAGTATTTCACAGACTAAACCCTGACATACACCTCAAATTCTCATTTACTTTTAGGACAGTGGTAGGATAAGTGAACAGTAGCAATTCTGGAGCTGAGTGCCAGTGGGTCATGGCCGTGATCCTAGCTATTTGGAAGGCTGAGATTAGGAGGTCAAGGTTCAAGGCCAGCCTGGATAAATAGTTTGGAAGACCCCCATCTCAAATATAACTAAGCAAAATGTACTGGAGGTGTGGCTCAAGTAGTAGAGCACCTTCTATTTGTGAGTGCAAAGCCCTGAGTTCAAAAAAAAAATTCTAGCCGCTAATAGTGTAAAATGAGAACATTATATGGGTCCTGTGGAAATGTTTACTTGGTTTACAATTGTTGGTTAGATACAGAGTAAATGAGTGATTAAGGATTGAAGACCCCTGAGGTTTTCAACTTTCAGGATTTTGTGTAGCCTTATATGATAATTCCTCCAGTATTTTTAAACAGAAAAGGATTATCACCATTTGTTACTTCCTGTTGGCTGTACATGCACCTTTCTTAGGCATATGGCATTAATAGAAAAAAATCTTTTTTTTCTGCTCTCTCTCTTTCTCTCTCTCTCTGCTTTCTAGCTTTCCTTCCACTTGGCCCCCCTGGCCAGGTGAGGCCAGAATTGATTTTTGGAATGCTTTTCTGTTACCTTTAATAAACTCTGTTACCTCCCTTACTACATCCACATGTCTTGCCTGGATTTTTCTATGCCAGACATCAAGAATGTGTGAATCTTCTGATCAGAGACTACATGAGCCATACGTGGTGAGCCAGCCAGGAGATAAGAAGGAACAGAGGAGCCTTGCAGGACAGACTGCCCCTCCAAATGAGAACAACTACCTGTAATGATGAGGCAGCACCCTGGATCAGGAGCAGTTGTTTCATGGAAACCAGATTGCTCCCCTCAAGTGATGATAGCGATAACTTGTCCAGAACTCTTCTAGGACTGAGATAATGACCAACTAGGCTACACCTGTGACTGGAACTGTTTATGCATACCTTTGTTCCCTGTTCCCAGTTCCTTGTCTACTTAAACCTGTAGCTCTTATGCCCCAAAGATGGCTGCAGTTGGGCTGAGTACTTACTTTGTCTCTTCCTATGGCATGTCCCAAGCCATTTAAAAAAAAAAATTTATTTTTCTTGTTAGTAGGGTTTGAATTCAGGGCCTTGTGATTGTTAGGCATGAACTTTTCATTTGAGCCATACTCCTGGCCCTTTCTCACTTTAGTTATTTTTCAGATAGGATCTCTCACTTTTTGCAGTGGTCGTCCTCAGACCACTATCCTACTACCACTGTGCCTCCCATATACACAGCTGGAACTACAGGCAAAATGCTACCAAGCTGAGCTTGTTTGTTGAGATGGGGGGAGGGTCTTGCTAGTTTTTTGTACAGACTGGCCTTGAACTATAATACTGCTGATCTCTAACTCCCAAGTAGCTGGGATTATAGGCATGAGCCTATATGCCTGGCCTAAAAAAAAATCTTTTATAATTTTCACCAGTTATCAGTCTGATCCCTTCAAGCCTGTGGTGCCCTCATATACTGATTTGCTGTATTAACTTTTATTATTTTTTTTCTTTGCCAGTATTGTGGTTTGAACTCAGGACCTCATACTTACAAGGACCTCTATCACTTGAGCCATTCCACCAGCTCTTTTTTGTGTTGGGTATTTTCAAGATAGTTTCATGAACTATTTGCTTAGGCTCCCACTGAACCTCGATCCTCTGGATCTCTGCCTCCTGAGTAGCTGGGATTACAGGTGTGAGCCACCAATGCTCAGCTGACTTTCTGCTTTAGGTCATATAATTAAGAACAGTTCAGTTCATCCCATTGAGACAATTTAAAGTAATGGGTAAGACAGTGGGTTCTGGAGTCTCACTTCTTGAATTCAAACCTTACTGTCACCCAGTTTGTTAGCTTGGTCATGTTCCTTAACTGTTCTATGCCTCAGTTTCTCTGTTTAAAATGTAGGAACTAGTAGAATCTGTGTCTTAGGATGTGAACAGTGTGTTTGTTAACTTAGAAAAGTAGGTGGCAAGTGGTCAATAAATGTTAGATGTGCTTATTCAAAAATAGTTACTGAATTTTAATCCAGGTGATAGTGCTGGCTACACTGAAAACAAAATGGGATTCTTGCTGGGTCTTTTTACATTTGCTACATTAACTTCAGCCTGGCATTTTTATTTTGTTTTGTAGTTGAAGTCAAGTGACTTCACAGTCTTGAAGCAGTTACTGCCGCTGTTGGAGAAGGTGTCCAGCACATACCCTGACCCTGTCATCCAGGAGCTTGCAGCTGATCTGCGCATTACCATCTCCACCCATGGAGCCTTTGCCACCGAGGCTGTCAGTGTGGCTGCCCAAAGTACCCTTCACAGAAAAGACCCAGAAGAGAAAATAGAAGAGCAGCAGCAAACCAGTCATGACACACTCATGGAGGTACCGAGGAGCCACCTCGAGCAACAGCAAAGCCATGAGAAATCCTCCCAAACAGGCCAGGAGTCTAACACTCCATCCATTCCTAAGAGGGTCAGTGAGCCCAGCATTACTACAAACCAGAAATCTGGAAGTGTAACCACAGAACAACTCCAAGAGGTTCTTTTGTCAGTGTATGATCCTCAAATTCCAACTCGGGCTGCTGCCCTTCGGACTCTTTCCCACTGGATAGAGCAAAGAGAAGCAAAAGCTCTTGAGAAGCAAGAGAAACTTCTCCAGGTGAGTAGAACACACTATAAAGACAAGGGCACAGAGCAGGCAGTGGTCCAGGAACATGCGTCCAACTCAGATAGTTTTGAAGCATTGACTATGTGTCAAGGACTATCCTAGATTATCCTCCAGGAACTTATAAATGTAACCAAGCAAGATTTAGACACAGGAAAGACTTAGAAACCACTCAGGGCTCCTCAGTTGAACATGAACAGAGGGCCAAAATGCTTATATGCAAGAAATACTGCAGACAGGAAAAAAAAAAAGATTTGTAATCTTCTTGGGGGAGGTAGATAGATCTTAGAATGGCCTTAACAAACTGGTGGAGTCTGAGCATATGAAAGAAAGAGGGTAGCCAGCCTGGGCAAATTTCCAGAATTGGAAAGGTACCCTCTTAGTTAAGCCACCTGTCTTTCTGGGCTCCTTTTATTTATTTATTTTATTTTATTTATTTTTATTTTTATTTTATTCATATGTGCACACAATGTTTGGGTCATTTCTCCCCCCTTCCCCCACACCTTTCCTTACCCCCCTGCCCCCTCCCTCTCCCCCCCACCCCCTTGTTACCCAGCAGAAACTATTTTGCCCTTATCTCTAATTTTGTCGAAGAGAGTATAAGCAATAATAGGAAGGACCAAGGGTTTTTGCTAGTTGAGATAAGGATAGCTATACAGGGAGTTGCCTCGCATTGATTTCCTGTGCATGTGTGTTACCTTCTAAGTTAATTCTTCTTGAAATAACCTTCTCTCTAGCTCCTGGTCCTCTGGGCTCCTTTTAGAGGAATGTTGGGCAGGACTGGGTCTCTTCACTCTCTTTCTTCCATCACAGTGAAAAAGCTGGGATTTCTTTTGTTTTTTGGTGGAACTGGGGTTTGAACTCAGGGCTTCATGCTTGCAAAACAGGTGCTTTACCGCTTGAGCCACACCTTCAGTTCATTTTGCTCTGGTTATTTTGGAAATGGGGTCTCACAAACTATTTTCCCAGACTGACCTTCAATTGCAATCCTTCCAGTCTCAGCCTCCCAAGTAGCTAGAATTACAGACATGAGCCACCAATGCCCAGTGAAAAAACTGTTCTTTAAATTCTAGATTTATATGGCAGAATAGATAATGCTTAGTGGGGATCTTTTCCCTTTTATGGAAATTGTACAGACCTCAGTATGGATTACAGATTAAGAGCAAGGGTCTAAAAATGACGGTCTGGAATCAAACTCCAGATCAGCTTCTTGGGCAATTCACCTAAACTTTCTGGACCTTGGTGATGATGATGATTTATTCTGTATGGCTTAGCTATTAGACTAAGAATTATAATTCTGATTGAAAACATCATTAGTAGGCTTGTAGAGTGGCTCAAGCAGAATAGCACCTGCTTAGCAAGCCTAGCAAGCGTAAGGCCCTGCATTCAAGCCCCAGTACCACAAAAAAAAAAAAAAAAAGAAAAAGAAAAAAAATCTAATACTAAAGTATTAGAACCAATTGTACAACAAAACCGATGTGTGTCAAGCCAGGCCATATGCCTTACAGACACTGTCTCTAATCGTTGTAGTAACTGTAATATTAGCATTATCCCCATTTTACAGATGAGAAAAACCAAGGCACAGAAATATGCCAAGGATTTTCTGTCATTGAAATATTGCTGAAAACCTATCTTTGAGTAATCATTAAGAATATTCCTTAGGCTGGTGGAATGGCTCAGGTGGTAAGAGCACCTGCCTAGCTAGTGTGAGGCCCTGAGTTCAAACCCTAGTGCCACCAAAAAATGAAACAAACAAAACAATATTCCTTGATATATCAGTTGAACTGGTGAATGCTATGAACATCTTTGGAATTTTCTTCAACTTCATTCATTTAGCCTTCATCTGCTGTACATAATTGGCTACCAAGTACTGTCCATTCTTTGTTTCTAAGAAGTCTTTCAAATATATCTCTTATTCTTTATTCCCATGGCCACAACCTTGGATTGAGTTTCCCCTACTCCATGAATGATCACCACATCACCCAACCTGACTGTCTTCCCAACTGGCCTAATCTTAGGCCTAGTCTCTCTAACATACCTAAGATGTAGAGACTAGCAATATCAAGTTAATATATATAAAAAAAATTGCTGTGCCAGCAAAGGACATGGTACTGGATATAGAGTGAACACCCTTGTCTTCCCTTAGACATCAAGTAGGAGAAACTATTCGCTATCTTTCCCTGGTTCTTGTGTTAGGGCCTAAACCTAATATGCTACCATAATATCTTCTAAATAAGCCATATCAGCCGGGTGCCAGTGGCTCATGCCTGTAATCCTAGCTACTCAGGAAGCAGAGATCAGGAGGATCATGGTTCGAAGCCAGCCCGGGCAAATAGTCTGCAAGACCCTATCTCAAAAAAACCCATCACACACAAAAAAAAGGGACTGGTGGAGTGGCCCAAGGTATAGGCCCTGAATTCAAGCCCCAGAATCCCCAATAAATAAATAAATAAGTCATACCTACTGTAGATGACACTATGGTGAGTTCCTGAATTATGAAATGTACTGGCAGTAATTTGTTACTAATGTCAGTTGAAGGGCTACATTTCTAGGATTTTGAATGGATTCAAAGTTTTCTCAATAATAATGTCTGATTCACTTGCAATTCCATTTGCTTTGTCAGTGCAAGAGAACAGGATCAAATTGCAGCAAATGTGCCATCAATTGCACAAAACCCCACACCTTGCCTCTCGTGTGTCACAGCCTGTGGTCTGTCAGGTCATAGGTGAGACTGTTGTTCACCATAGGGTCATAGAAGAATGTTGATGATTGTTCTTCCAGACGTTGTCTCCTATGACTATTGCTGGTATATACCTGACTACTTCAAGAAGTAGCTCCCTAATCACTCCCCTTTTAAACTCTTGTAACAGTGAGAGATCAAACATATGTACCATTTTTTTCTCAGAAGATTTAAGACCTAGTTAAGAGTAGTTAAGACAATGTACTGTTTTTTTTGGAGGGGATTTTTTGGTTGTTGTTTTTTTTTTTTAATAGCAGTACTGGGGTTTGAACTCAAGGCCTTGCAATTGCTAGGCAAGCACTCTACTACTTGACACACACCCCTAGCCCCTTTTGCTTTAGTTATTTTTCTCATAGGGTCTCACTAACTTTTTGCCTGTCTGGCCTCTACCTGGGATCCTCCTTTCTTCACCTCCCTATGTGGGATTACAGGTGTGAGCCACTGCTCCTGGGTCCCCTACCACCACCTTTTTTTTTTGGCTATATTGGTGTTTGAATGCAGGGCCTTGGGCTTGCTAGGCAAGCAACTCTACCACTGGAGCCACGCCCCTAGCACAGATGAAGGGGTCCCAAATCTTTCATGCTCTTTTTGAATCATATCATTCTGTGTTTTATGGTTCCAGATATTCTTGGAGAACTTGGAGCATGAAGACACTTTTGTATATCTGTCTGCAATTCAGGGTAAGTTAATCCTTGTTAAAGGACTTTGAATCTGTGGACCAAAGATTACATCACATTTGTTTGCACAAAATTTCTAAAGTCACATAGACATAAAATGCTGCTGGTCCTTTAATACATCTTCCAGTGTCCTACAAGGGCACTGTACGTTATAATAATAATATTCCTGGAGGATTCCCTCGCAGTCTCTGTAGAGTTTCAGTGTCTGATATTGATGAGGAAATTTTTACTTATCTTGTCTTAATCGTTCTATGGATTAAATCCCTTTTCCTCTAATTCAAAGAGGTAAAGAATGGCTTGCATGTGATCTTTTATGGTACTTTTAATATGCACCTTTGCCCTATAAGCAAAAGAAACTCAGAATCTTTGTGGGGGATTTTTGGGTTTTATGGTTTTTGGTTTTTTGTTTTGGCAGTACTGAGTTTTTTTTTTGTTTTTTGTTTTTTTTTGTCCTGAGGTTTGAACATAGGGCTTCATGCTTGCTAGGTAGGCACTCTTATCACTTGAGCCACACCTCCATCTCTTTTTGCTCTGATTATTTTGGATATAGGGTGTCATTTTTTGTCCAGGCTGACCTGGCCCACAACCCTCCTATTTTACGTTTCCTGCTGTTGCTGGGATAGCAGGCACACACCACCATGGCCAGCATTGTTCTGTTTAGATGGTGTCTTGCACACTTTTTTGTCTGGGCTGATCTGGAATCATGATTCTTCCAATCTCCACCTCCTGCATAGCTTTGAATGACAGATGCGTGCCACCATGCCCAGCTGGAGGTATAGCTCAAGTGGTAGAGTGCCTGCGTAGCAAGTGTGAAGCCTTGAGTTCAAACCCCCTACCACCAAAAAAAAGAAAAAAAAAATTCACAAACGAGATAGGGTCTCACCCAGGATGGTCTCTCGAATCATAATTCTCCTGATGTCAGCCTCCCAAGTAGCTCAGATTATAGGCAGAAGCCACCAGGATCTGACCTTGTTTTTGTTTTTACTTTTGTTTTGTGTGGGGGGAGACCCTGGGGGTTAAATTCATTGCCTTGCACATGCCAGCCAAGTGCTGTGCCACTGAGCCATACCCCAGCCTCAATCTCAGCTCAGTCTCAGGGTTTTTAATATTCCTTTATCAAAAAAATTTTTGTAATCATTTTATTTCTGTCTTGGTACTCTCATTGTTCTCCAGATCTTCATTAATGTGCACATTCCAAATCTAGAAGGGGGTTTAGAAAATTAGGCAGCCTTCCCAAAGAGTGAGAAGCAGACATGACAAGAGAGTTAAGGTGAACTCAGTTTCCCTTGGAGCCATCAGTGTGGTGTAATTGTCAAGGAACTCTGGAGGAATACCACTGGGGTGTACCCCCATACCTCTCCTTCTCAGCCATGTGGACTTTGGCAAATGACTTAATCTCTCTGGGCTTCAATTCATTGTCTGTTAAAAGGGGACTGGCTGGGCACCATTGGCTCATGTCTATAATCCTAGCTACTTGGGAAGCTGAGATCAGGAGGATCATGGTTTGCAGCCACCCCATGCAAATAGCTTGAGAGACTCCCATCTCCAAAATAACCAGAGTAAAATGGACTGGACTTGTGGCTCAAATAGTAGGGTGCCTGTTTTGTAAGTGTGATGCTTAATGTTCAAACCCCAGTCCCATCAAAAAAAAAAAAAAGGGCAGGGGGACTTAGTGGGACTCTATATTTACTTTGGAAAATAATCTGGCAGTTACTTAAAATATAAAGATAGACGACTCAGTAATTCCATACCTAGGTATATACCCAAGAAAAATGAAAACATATGTACCCACAAAAACTTCTATGTTAATGATCATAGTGGCAGCATTATTATTTTTTTGGGGGGCAATTCTGGAGTTTGAACTCAGGACCTCACACTTGCTAGGCAGGTGCTCAAACACTTGAGCCACTGGCTAGCCCTATTTTGTATTGGGTATTTTTGAGATAGGATCTTGAAAACTGTTTACCCTGGATTTGAACCTCAATCCTCCTGATCTCTGCCTCCTGAGTAGCTAGGATTACAGGCGTGAGTCACCAGCAGCCAGGATAGCAGCATTATTCACAATCAACAAAAGGTAGAAATGACCCAGATGTCCATCAGTTGACAAATTAATAAACAGACTGTGGTATAGTCATATAAAGGAATTTTGTGCTGTGAAAATTACTGATTCCTGCTATAACATGGATAAACTTTGAAAACATCATATTAACTGAAGTAGCTGCTTGTAAGTACTACATATCGTATGAATTCATTTATATGAAATGCCCAGAATGGACAATTTATAGAGACAGAAAGTATATTAGTAGTTGCTTAGGACTGGGAGGAAGGGGGACATGGATAAGGGGTGATAGTTAAAGGGTATGGGATTTCTTTTGGGGGTAATGAATACATTCTAAAATTGTTTGTGGTGATAGTTGTACAACTCGAGTATGCAAGGAACCACTGAACTGTATACTTTGAATAGATAAATTGTATCATATGTGAATGATATCCTGATAAAATTTTACCAAGTAAAATTAGTAATAGCAGAGAAGACTAAGAATGTCAGCACATAAGGAAATATGACGACTAAATAAATGTAAGGTGTTACATAGAGTCCTGAAATAGAAAAAGGATATTAGGGAAAACTAAGGAAATCAGAATTAGTTATAGATAAAATAAAGTATCAGTGCTTGTTCATTATTTGTGACAATTAATCATACTAATATAAGTTATTAAGAATGGGGGGTTGGGTGCCAGTGGCTCATGCCTGTAATCCTAGCTACTCAGAAGGCAGAGATCAGGAGGATCATGGTTCGAAGCCAGCCTGGGCAAATAGTTTGTGAGACCCTAGCTCAAAAAAAAAAAAAAAATCCATCACAAAAAAGGGCTGGTGGAGTGATTCAAGGCGTAGGCCCTGAGTTCAAGCCCCAGGTATTACAAAAAAAAAAAAAGAATAGGGAGAAGCAAAGTATGATACTGCACACCTGCAGTCCCAGCTACTCAGGAGGCTGAAGGAGAAGGATCACTTGAGTCCAGGAGTTCTATGCCAGCCTAAGATACATAGCAAGACCCTATCTTACTAGAAAAAAATCTCAAGCCAGGTTTGGTAGTACATGTCTGTAATCCCAGCACTCAGGGGGCTGAAGCAAGAGGATCAAATGTTCAAGGCCAGCTGAGTTACATAGTGAGACCCTGTCTCAAAAAAAAGGAAAAAATCTAAATAGGAACAAGTAGGTGTGAAGTATGTGGGAACTCTTCTGTGTTCTTAATAATTCTGTAATCTGAAACTGTTCTATCTTTAAATGTTTGTTTATAAAAGAAGAGCTAATACTAGGTTAAATGAGTTAAGGCCTTGTAAGTGCCTTAACACATATGTTCAATGTATGTTGGCTGTTATCATTTTAGAGTTGTTGTCATTGTCATCATCTATTACTTCTTTTGTTGGATTGCTAGGGAATAATGTGATCTGCATAACTTCTCAGATCTAAATCTCGAGGAGACTGATCCTGTCTGTTATTGCTACTTTACAAACTACCCCAACATTCAAGGTTGTAAAATACCAATCATTTATTATCATTCATAATCTGCAGATCAGTTGAGGTTCAACAGAGCCAGACTGGGCCTGACTAGGCAGCTCTGCTTCTCCCTGCAAGTCTGGGGACCAGCTGCAGTGGCTCTGTGCATGAGTTCCTGATTGTCCCTGGATCTGTGGCCTTCCAGGGCATATTCTCCTTGAGGTGATGTCAGAAGTGTGAGAAAGCAGGCATAAACACGAGAAGCCTCTCAGGCCCAAGCTTGGAAGAGTCATCCTGTCAACTTCACCCTCATTCTGTTGGCAGTAGCAAGCCATGTGGCTCAACCCTAAAGTCAGGGGTAGAGAAATATGCTCCATCCCTGTAGAAGGACAGACTGCCAAGTTATGTAGCAGAGGGCATGGATGCAGGGAAGGGTATAGAATTGATACCAATAATGCACTCCTCACACTGTTGTGTTCTGTTTACCTCCAAAAGCAAGACTCATAACCAACAGAGGCTTGAGCAGTTTCCTACAGGCTAGTTATTTCTGGGTGCTCTGTACAGACGGTATGTGAAGCTTAAGACATAATGCAGAAGGGATGAATGCATACAGTGACGAAAGCCTGAGCCTGGGGATTCTTTATTCAATAAACATGTTGTGTACCTACTCTATACAAAACATTTTAGAGCTGTGTAACTAGGTTAAATGACAAAAGAGAATTCTTCAAAGGAGACAAAATGACCACTCAAAGAGGTAGAAGGACAACTCAGCTAGGTAAGATCAGCGGCAGAAAGCCTAGAGGGCTTCAAGAGAGAAAGCAATTAACTTGAAACAAAGAGATCAGAGTCCTGGGGGCTCTGTAGTGTTCAGGAGGCCACATGAGGCTCCATGACATGGAATGGTACTTGGAAATCAGATAAATCAATGAAGCAAGAACCTAGAATGCCTCTAATTAATAACTCTCAGAAAAAAAGTCACCCTGCACTTTCCCCAAGAAGCTATAATAAAGTCAGGGAGATGTTTTTCATTGATTTTTTTAAAATTTTATTTTATTTTATTTTTAAGGACTGGATTTTCAGGAAGTAATGTCATGTCCTTCTAATGTGGCAGCCTTACTGCTTGGAATAAGCTGATTAACCCATTGAGCCCATTAGCCTCTGGGATGTGCTATAAAAATCACAACAGTTGGTGTTGTGTTTGTTTTTAGTGTTTAATTAGTGTGCTAATCAGTTAGTGGCTGATTTAGTTATGAAGAACATGGGAGGTGGTGGTGTAATTTCTGTTCTCAGCTCCCCAAGATGGATAAGATTGAACTAATTGATGTTTTTGGTGCTTGTAACATGCACTTAAAAGCCAAGGCCTTGGGTAAATTTCCCATTAAGAAAAGCAAGAGCTGAATTTTCCCACCTGTGTTGCCAATGTAGTTTACCCAGGCCTAAACCATTCCAGCATCAAAGGCAATCCAGATTCCCAGTCAGACAACAGGTCCTGCAGGACAAGAGGAG